ACAAAACGACAGCAACTTGTCTGTTCCCCTTCCCCCAATTCCCCAGCACTGTTCCCATCCCCCCAATTCCCCAATAAAAATCTTTTAAAAAAAAGGGTCAGTTTAGGGTTAAGTGTGGGGGGACAGACGGCTGGACAGCTGCGTGGCAACACCCAATTACACAAAATTAGGGAATAGGCCCATTTGTTACAACAAATCACCTGAGCCTCCATGGTCCTTTGACCTATTTTGGCTGGTTACCTCAGGTTTGGGCTTCTGCTTTAGGGCCATTATGTAAACTGGATTTTATTCTGCTCATTTTGTTTTTATAATTATTTTCAAACTTTGTACCTGTTGCCTGTCAAGCTTCTGCAGAAATGATGCACTGAATAGAATGATGTTGGCTCAATGTTTCAAGATATCAGCAATGCTTATGACCCTGATAAAATACGTTAGATGGGAATGCCTGAGCGTCCTTCCTCCTACCCTCCTTGTTACTCAAACGTGACCTCAGTGATTTCCAATCACTGTGCACTTTCTCTCTGACATGGAACATGACAACCAGGAAAGGTCCTTCTTGGCAGCAAGGGACAAAACCACTAAATGTGGAAAAACCGATTGTTGGTCAATGATGCCTTCAGAAAAAGATCTTGCTTAAAGGGGGAAATGTTAAAATAAAGAACGAACACCTCATAAAATCAGTCAGAAAGCCTTGAAGGAGGAGATCTCACACGCTACCACTCACGGCACCTTGAAGACTCAAACAGGAAGCTAAATTCAGTTACTCCAGTAGGAGGAAGATTCTCTCCTCACGCAGCAACAGCCCAGCCAATGAGAAGCAACCACACTCATCAATAAGAAGCCACCACCACCTTGAACTCTTGCTCTCCTCCAATGGACTTTTGCTTACAACCACCCTCCTTCCCAACTTCCTCCTTTTTCTCTATAAAATAACATTCCCCCTCCTTTGTTCTCCAGACTTGCTTGTGGTTCACTGTAGTTTGCAAGCCCCAAATTGTAATTCTTCTGCCATTCCCAAATAAACGCATTTTTTTTTGCTGGTAAAATAACCAGCTATTTTATTTTTAAGGTTGACAGTAGGAAACGGGCTCGCTGGGGGTGAGGCAGCATCCAGGCCCAGTCACCCTGGGTCACAGCAAGGCCCTATATAGCTCTGTCTCAGGGAGACTGGCAGAGGTCTCTGCTGATCAGGACACCCCAAAAGCCAGCCAAGCTTAGGAGCAGCTGCAGGGAGGACACCCTTCCGGCTACCTCTCACAGTTGAAGGCTATTAGCCCAAGTGGGCAGGAAACAAAAGATACTGGGGTCTGAGGGAAAGGGGGAGGTGAAAGTTGGCGCTCAGCTAAGGGGCAGGGAGGAGGGGACTGATGCCAAGGGGACATTGAGCAGACCTGAGAAGACAGATGTTGGCTGCCTGGTGTAAAGGGAGCCAGATGTAAGGGGCCAGGGCTTCTGGCAGCTGGCCCAGCCATGGGGGCTGCAGAAAGAATCCCAGGCACTGGGGAGACCACCTTCCTCCTCCAGAAAAAGTAAAAAAAACTAAAAAAAATAAACTCAGTTCCCAGAGGTGACCTGGTAAAGTCTGGTTATAGGAAAGTGGGCAGACAGAGCCCTGGGTCAAGTGGCAGAACCAGGACCTCTCCTTCACCCTAATCTGAGGTCAAATGGCCATGAATGTCAGGGGCTTGTCTGCACACAGGCCCTGGCCTGGCTCCTCTGCCATCCACAGTCCCAGACAGGGGCCCCAGCAGGGGAAGAGGCTGCTTCAGACATGGGACTCACCCAAGACCTCTGTCCCCATTCCCCAAGTGCAGAGTGCCTCACATGCCTGCCCACACTGAGCCCCAGCCCTGAAAGACAGGTGTCTCTGGGTGGCAGGAAACCCCAGTGCCCTGCTCCCAAGACCTGAGCCCTGGGGAGAAGGGCCAGCCCCACCTGGCTCAGAGCATCCTGTCTCCTTGGGACTGTCATTGGGCCCTCCCCAGAAAGGAAGGGTGTGCCCTGGGATCTAGGCTGGGAGAGTCTTACACAAACACTGTCTCTCGTTCCTTGCATTATCCTCAGTTCCTAGAGCAGCACCTGGCACCTAGAAGGCACTCGGTAAAAGTTTGACTAAATGCATTCACCTAACCGGCACACACCCCCTACAACTCTGTTCTGTTCTGTTCACATCTGGCACTCTGCTCCTTGGCCTTTGGGCACTGGGCAGTCGGGTGCGTGCCCACATAAGTGTACACACCCAGAAGTGCCCCACAGGCGCCCTGCAGGCCAGCTCCCATAGTGCCAGCATGCATGTTCACCCACACCGTGTTCCCCTTGGCCACTCCCTGCAGAGCAGGCATGAAGTCCCTGGCCCAAGGCTCTGGTGGCCCTGTTAGCCACACCCACTCCCATTCTTTGTGCACCTATGAAAAGAGCGCTGGTTGTAGCCAGTATGTGCATGGGAGGCTCAGGCAGGTGGGTAGAGGCCAGTGTCCAGCCTAGGGCCCACCCCAGAGCAGCTGCCCCACATCTTTGTGGACAGGTGATCCAAGAGGCAGTCCAGTTACCACTGTGTGTGGCCAGGGCCTCCTTCCCAGAGAGGTTGTGGGGAGCTGGCCAGAGAATCAGGGCAGGGCAAAGGGCTGCTCAGCCCTGGGGGAGCACTCCTTGGGGCCTGCCCAAGACAGAGAGGAGGAAGCCAGTCAGGGTACCCTCACTTCCTCCTCCTCCTCTGCTGTTTGCTGAGATACTCCCTGATGGGGGAAGGGGACTGACAGGATGCTAGGGTCTGCAGTTCAAGAGAGAGGTCCAGGCTGGAGATCAAAATGTAGGGGTCATCAGCACACTGATGGTATTTAAAGCCCCAAGCTTGGGGAAGTGAGAGGGAGCAATGAGAAGTCTCAGGAGGGGAGGAGGGGAGGAGGGGCAGAGATGGGAGGAAGCCCAGTGGGGCCTGCCATCCAGGGTGGCTGTGCCCCCCAACCCTGTAATTCTCTTCAGCCCCACAGTGAGTAGAAGGACTGCCCCCCCATGCACGTGCTGCTTCTAGACAGTCATCCCATGGAAAGTCCAGTGTCTCCCAAATCTAGAGGAAGGGGTCCTATGTGAAGGCCCTACACAGCCTTGTCCCTCTCACAGCTTCAGTTCGTGCCTGAAAGATGGCAGGACTCCTGGCCTCCGCCCACACCCTTGGCCCCTTCCCCAGCAAAGACGGCAGGTAAGGATGGGGAGCTGTTCCTAAGGCTCAGCCCAGGCGTCCCTCCAGACTTAAGCTGCGGCTCTCTTTCCCAGGAGCTGTGGAGTTGGGGAGAACAGAATGAGCTCATTCAGAGTTCAGAAGCCCCCACACCCCAGGGGTTTTCAGCCTCAGGGCTGCCGGCTTTGTCCAGAACCACTGGCCCTTTATGTGGCTGAAACTGAGGGGGAAGGCGGGGACAGCAACAATGGGGCCAGTGGCGGGAAATGCTCCTTAGAGGTCCCGTTATGTGCCCCGCCCACCAGAAATGGGCAACAAGCAGGACCCCGTAGGGGAGACCCCATGCCCCATGGGCTCTGCACCACGTCAGGATGCTCAGCACGTTGCAGGGGCCTCCTTTCAGGGGCCTGGGGACAGAGGGGCCCATTCTTCCCCGAGGGCGGGATGGGGCCAGGATGACTTTGCTGGGCTCCCAACAGACTACAGAGGGAAGTCGGCGCCCTGCCAGATTGCAACCCCTTCCTCCCAGGCTGGGAGTGATGTTGGTCCACATAAGGGATACGACCCGTCCGAGACCTTGGGTGTTATGGCCCCTTTCCCACTCCTACTCTGAGCTGAAGAAGCACCTGATGTTGGGTGCAGAAGCAATACAGCCAAAGCTCACGTAGGTGTGTGTGTAGAGGGACCCCTGCATACCCCCGCCCAGCAGCGGCCCCTCCCCAGGGCATGGGCACGGATCACTGTCCCACTCACTAGCTGGGTGGCCTCAGACAAGGCACCACTGCCCCCGAGCCTCAGTCTCCCACTGTGTGTAGTAGGAATCAGGGCAGTCCCAGGACTAGGCTCAGGCATAGGACATTCAACCTATGTTGGCTAGTGAAATCAATGTTCTTATTGGCTATCGCTATTCCCTCAGAAGCCGTTGGTACTGTGATGCCCTCTGGAGGCCACCCCCTCCCCCACCCACCCTCCTCCCGGCCCATCCCCAGAGCCCTGCTCTCAGGGCCCCTCAGTCCAGCGCCACCTCGCACGGGTGGAGGTGGTCGGCATGGGCAGCTGCATAGGCACGGCTGAATTCCTGGAAGCGGGGTGCACAGCCAAGCCAGGCCTCACCAAAGCGGCTCCAGCCCATGAAGAGGAAGGTGCCAGGGCCCGGGCGGACGCCACAGCGCAGCAGGGTATGAATGGAGGCCTGCACCGGGCCCCCAGACGCCCCCACCTGGAACAGCGGCAGTGTCTGGCGGAGAACACGGGCAGCTGTGACGGTGATAACGGACTCCTGCAGCTCTGTGTTGTGGGCAACACCGTGGATGGTCCCATGGATCACTGCGGGGAGATACGCTGGCCAGTGGCTGACATGTAGGGGAGGGTAGGCCCTGGGCTCCCCCCACCTGTGGCAGGGACACTCACCAAAGTCGCTGGTGCACAAGGCCAAGAGGAACTCAGCGTCACTACAGGGCCTGCAGCCACCTGGGATTCAGGGAAGAAGGTGAGTGTAGGCCCTGTCTGCTCCTAAACCACCCAAGGACTCCCCCCACCAGCCAGAGTCAGGAGAAAGAGGGCAAATGACCTGACCCCCCTTGGGGCCTAATGGCAGCTGGGGATCCCAGGGAGCATGTATGCACACACCCTGAAGACCCCCTGCATTCAGGGTGATGCTTGCAGGCTCGTGCGTGCACCCCCACATATGTGCACAGACATGGGCCTGAGAGTCGTGCCCAGCTGGAGCTCAGTGTCCAGTGCATGCTCTCACACACCCATCTGGCATATGCAGTAACCCCTGTGGCGTCCCAGAGCTGCCTCCTGGACCCAGAGACACCAGCCTTGCCTGGAGTGGGCAGTGGGAGAGTAGGGGGAGGAGGAGGGTATGGTGGGCTCTGTAGTCTCTGGGGGGGAGGAAGGAGGTAGGAGGCAGAACAGAGACACCCACACACACACACCCGCTTTGGGGTCAGGCCCCAAGCTCCAGAAGAGCAAAGAGCTGGGCCTGCTGCCCCGCGGGGAGGCAGGGGCATCTCCATGGCGACAGGCTCACACTGGACTTTTGTTGTATTGGGCTGGGGAAGGGGAGGGAGGTCACCGCTGGGCCAGGGAGCCCTGGACAGCTTTGGCCAGAGGCGGATTCTGTCATCACCCCTAACATCCCTTCCCCCTTAGGGACCAGGGACCCAGGTTGCCCTTCCTGGCCTCCCCTTCGCCCCATTCTGCCCCCTGCCGGCTCTTTCCCTAACATGAGTTATGGGGGATTGCCCACCCTCCCTCTGACCTCCACCCTCCCTCTGACCTGACAAGCGCCTCAAGTTTCTCCCTCTGTGCAGTGGGGACAACAGGCATTTTCCATCCCGCCCGGAATGGGAGCAAATTCATGATTCCCAAACCTCCCCACCCAGGCCGTCACTCACCATCCATGCCCAGCCCGTGGGCCTGCGGAGGCAGCTCCGGATGCCCGTCCTCGCGCAGCTCGAAGCGGAAGGAGGCCACGCGGCGGCTGATGTCACGGTGCGGGGTGGCCTGCAGGAAGAGGGCTCGACCCTCGCGGGGACCCCAGCGCACGCATCGGCCCCCGGCCGGGCCTGGGCCCTCGGCCAGCAGCAGCTCCAGGGAGCCACCCGCCCGCTCTGCGAAGACCTGGGCGCCCGCGAAGGGCCACACCGGCCGCAAGCAGGCGATGCGGGGCCGTGCGCCGGAGTCGGGGCTGCCCAAAGTCAGGCGCAGCGCGCCGGCCGGATACAGCCACTCGATCCCGCCCTCGGTACAGGCCAGGGCCAGCTGCCCCACGCTGCCGGGCTCCTGGGTCAGGCCGCTGGGGACAGACGCGCGGCGCTGAGATGGGCGGCTCGCGTCGCTGGCCAGCGCAGCCCCCTCCCCTGCACCCACTCCCGGTAGCCAGACAGCTGCGTCCACTTCGTAGAGGAGGAAACTGAGGCCCAGGGTCCTTTGTACTCGAGAGGGAGGGCAGGGATTTGGTGTGGGGGCGGAGCGGAACCCCCCCCCCCAATCCAAAGGGCGGGCTACAACCATCCCGCAAGCCCCTCCTAGGGGAGAGTGCAGCTGCACGCTGGGGTCGTACCTGCCTCTCCAGCTGCAGCGGTCCTCCGAGTAGCCGGCTCGGGCAGCCGCGACCAAGAGGCCGCAGCAGAGCGCGCAGAGCAGCGCAGGGGGCTGCATGGCGCCGGGACAGGGCGGCAGGAGCGGCCGGGGGCACAGGCCCCGGCCAGGCGCAGCCCACCGCCCGCGCCGCTTGGCCGCGCAGCCCCGCCGGGCCCCCGAGCTGCCGGAGGCGGCCGGACGGATGGCCAATAGCGGAGCGGTCCCGGAACTTTCCGCCAATCGTAGCGGCGCTCACGGGGGCGGGAGGACAAACCCGCGTCCTCGGAGGTGCCGGGAGGGGGCTCCTAGCTCTGTGTCCTCCCCTCCAGGTAACCCCGCCCCCAGTCTCGACGTGCACGCCGTCCTGGTCGGGCCGCTGTCCTTTGAGCCCTTGGTCCGGGTGAGGGTGGGTTTAGTGCCCTCTGGAACTGGGGTGGGGTGGCGGGGGTGGGGATCATCGCGGGTGAGCCTTTCCAAGAGTGGGACCTGGGCTCTCAGCCACCGTCTCGCCCCAGTCAACCTCAAGAGGCTGCGGTACCCAAAAGAGGAGGAGCCAGGTGCTGCGGCTGCCAGCACGGGGGGACAGCAGGATTGGAAGGGCACAGAATCAGGTTCCCAGGAGGTTCAGACATGGGACCCTGAAATGGAGCTGACTCTCCAAAATGAAACAAGAGTGGTGGGGAAGCACAGAGATTTCCCACAGCCAGGATCTCGTCTGAGGGAACAGGTTGGGGAGTGGCTGGCCAGGGGGTACTAGAGATTCCAGCCTGGGCAAAGGCCAAGTGAATGGGGTTCTCAACAGCCAGGAAGCCGGACACCCCCACCCCCACCCCCAGTCAGCTAGCAGAATCCTTAGCCACAAAGCCAGGAGTCCAAGCTCATGCCAGGACTGTCTGGATCACTGAGAGTTTTAGTCAGGTCTGTGGGAATCAGCATAACTCTGCTGTCGGGCTGTGGACCCTCCACCCCCGCCCTCCTGCTACCCCTGGGTCTGAGTGCATGGCTGACAGATGAGGGCAGATGGTCCAAGGGGAAAGGGGAGGTTGGAGCTGCTCAGCCAGGCTGAGCGGACCAAACTGCCCCCTTCCCTCCCCAGGCCATGAATGGGCGAAGCACTACTTGGCTCAGATGGGAGGGAGCGGGGTGTGCGGTGAGAACCAGCTATCACTATCACGGTAGCCACAAGGTGGATGCAACCCAAGTGTCCATCAATGGATGAATGGAGAAACAAAACATTGTCCATCCATACAGCGATTCAGCCTTTAAAAGGAAGGAAATGAACCTTGAGGACATTATGCTCAGTGAAATAAGCCAGTCACAAAAGGACAAATATTGTGTAATTTCACTTCTGTGAGGTTCCTAATTCACAGAGACAAATCAAAGCAAAACGGTGAGTGCTGGGGCTGGGAGGGGGGGAAATAGGGAGTTTGTGCTTAATGGGGACAGAATCTTAGTTTGGAAAGATGAAAGAGTTTTCTGGAGATGGATGGTGGTGAGGTTGCATTACAATGTGAATGTACGTAACACTACTGAACTGTACACCTAAAAATGGTTAAGATTTGTTATCTGTATTTTACTCAATTAAAAATAAAAGGAGTAGGCAGGGTCTGGGTAATAGAAGGCAAAAGAGATGCTGTAGAAGAAAGGGAGGGAGCCCTAGGGTCAGCTGCTACAGCTGCCCTTGCCCAGGTTGCGGGACCACATAAAGCTAGTCACTAGGGCCTTGGCGGCCCCTGTCCAGGCCTCTAAAGCAGAGAGTGTGCTCCAAGCGCCCTCTAGTGGTGACGTGAAGAAACAGCCTCAGGCCCGCCCCAGCCGGCTTAGGGCCCCTGGCTGCGGTCACATCTCACCCCTCTTGACAATGGGCCAGTGTCTGTGTGTGCGCGCGGTAGGAGTTCCTGACAGGTGACCTGGTCCAAAATGGCACAGGCCTGGCCCTGAGCTGTCTCTACACCAGGCTGTCCCTGCCCCTGCCCCTGCCCCAGCCTCTGCATGGAGGGGCCTGGCCATGATGCTGTCACCCACAGAAAGCCCCAACTACAACAACGGCCACCTATCCTCACAGCTCCTGGCTCCACCCAGGAAAGCACGTGGGTGTTGCTAGCCATTAGAGGTCTGCTGCCTTTGGGAGCCAGAAGGTCATGCCTGGACTTGATTGCTGTGGGTGCAGGACCAGACACACTGCAGGTGCCCAGTAAATACCTAGAGAATGAGTTTGTGTGCCAATGAGTGAACGAATGAGTAAGTACATAAATGAATGAATGACATCCCAAACCTCAGGTAACTCCCCTGATGTCTATACTCAGTTTGGGGCTCCTTCGCCTCCCCCAGCTCCAGAGCGTTTAGGGCCCTGATCCCCCAAAAGGGGCCTCTCTCCATTCCCACCCAAAACCTACATCCTGGCAGGGGGGTGGAGCTGATGCTTGGACAAAAAACAGTGTCCGAGGTGAGCCCTGCCCTGAACAGTGCCTGGACAGGTGGCTCTGACCTCCAGCAGGGGAGGCAACCCCACGGGGTGGAGGGCACCTGCCCCGGGAAGCCCAAAGTGCTGGAGACACAGGCAAGAAGCACTCATGACCAAAGCAGGGTCTGGGCTGGTTGGGGGCCTGGGAGAGCAACATAAAACCCAGATAAGAGGGTCCCAGGTCCAGTGAACAGAGGGCAAGGGCCATACGGACAGGACAGAGCTCAGGGCAAGCCAGGAAGGTGGTCAGTGGGAGGTGGGCAGGGCCAGCCCCAGGTCCATCAGCCAGGGAAGAGTTTGGACTTGGTCTCAAGGGGACAGCGAACAGAGTCCCTGCAGAAATGGAAAGAAAGCCCAGAGAGAGGGGTCAAGCCTCCCATTTGCCCAAGACCTCCCGCCTGGGCTCCTGCTTCAGCAAAAGCAGGATAGAGGGAGCAATATGGGCTGAGCAGAGGCCAACCCTGCCCATGTCCCCACCTGAGCCTGTGGCCACCCCGACCCCTGCAACCAGGACTGCCTGAACGTGCTGCTCCAGCTGGGCAGGGTGCTGAGCTCCTGGTGGAGGTGGGGGCCAGACACAGCAGGTCCAGTTCCCACACTGAGGGCATGGGGGTGCTAGGAGCCCACCAGAACCTGGGCCACCCAGTGAGGTGCTCTGATGGTGCCATGAGCACTGACCTGGATCACCTCTGCCCAGTCTGCCCTAGAGAGCCCGAGGGTGCTGGAGTGCCCAGCCCTCCCAGAGACCTCATCGGAAAGATGATCACATCTGCCAACTATTCCAGGCAACCTGTGCAACCTCTGGCTCCCCTTCACCTGCATCCCTCTTCTCCACCACCACCCCAGGCAGAATCTGGCCTCCTCCACCTAGGAGTCTGCACCTCCGGACATGGGGCAACGTTCCTGTAGCTTGGATGTTTTCCTCCCTTTGACAAGAAATCCTCCCACCCACACACATACACACACCTTGCATCTACTCGAGGAGCCAAAAATGCAGCTGCGGACTGATTTGCAGCTGAGCTAAAAATAACTGCCAGATTCCAGCCAGGGCTGGGAAAATATCCCATTGCTAGGAGACAACCGTTACTGGGAGACCACCATTGCTAGGCGACAGGGTTGCCTTGGTGACAACTGCGCCCTGAGTCATCCTCAGCCTTGGTTGCTCCGCCCCCCTACCCCTGGTGGGTCAGGCCTTCCTTCCCAGGAGGAGGGAAGGAAGGGAGCAGAAGCTAGAAGGCATCAGAGAGGCCCACCGCCTGCTGTTTGTCACTCACGGCCACTCACAGCCACCCCAGGCTGAGAGGCTCTCACTCCTGTGGGCACCCATTCTGGCTTGGAAGTGGCAATGACAGCCAAACACACCTGAGGCCTGCCCGCCCCACAGGGGCCCCTCCCCAGGCCGTCTTGGGGCCCTACCTCTGGGTGGGGGGCTGAGACAATGAGGAGAGCAGTGTCCTTCTCGTGGTTCCATAGCAGGGGGCTTCAGAGCCAGCCTAATCACTGTCAGGCACAGGGCCCTCGCCGTCTGTGCTGTGTGCTCGGACCTTCAGGACACCCCCTGGAGCCCCAGACCCATTTCCCAGGAGGGGAAGTACTTGTCTGAGGCCCCACCCAGGTAGGGAGTACTTGGGCCCAGACAGGTGGCTCCAGGGCACACATACCACTCCAGAGTTCCCCAAGGGAAGTCTTGACAACCTCCTGGGAGGAGCCTCAGGGTGTTTTAGATCCACTGCCCTAGACTTGGAGCACCATGAGAGGTGACCCTATCATAGGCAGCCTCACTCCCTGATGTGACAGGGACTCCCTCTCTCTTAGACCCCAAGGCGTCCAGGCAAAATGTGCCAACAGCCTTCGGTCCTCATGACTCCGGAACTGGAACCTCCCAGCAGCCTGGACTGGGGATACTCTTCCGTGCCCAGGCATCAAGACAAAGGGTGTTTCAGGTGAGGTGATGCTCCAAGTGAGCTCATGAGACCTGCTGAGGAGCCTGGTGCCCTCCTGCCCCTGGAGAAAGGCCAGTGTTCTAGAAGCTACAAGAGTAAGGGAAGGGGTAAGGCTGTGGGCTGGTAATGCTGGAGACTCAGGGCTTTGCGGGCTGCAGGACGAAGCCTTGGGAGGATGGGGACCATATCTATACTATAAAGTGATCCCTCTGCACCATGGGGAGAACAGGTGGGGGGCATTGGGGACAGACCAGTGAGGAGGTAGTTGCCATCAGCCATGGAGGAGAGGATGCCTGGCACAGGGAGGAGAGGTGACAGAGGTGGAAAGATGAGTGATCCAGAGGCGTTCAGGAGGCAGGCCTTCCACGGCTGTATTTCATATCCCTCTGAGTAATCGCTCTTTGCTCAGGTTCTTCCAAAGAAAGCTGACTTCTCGGGCCCCTTTGAGGGCACAACATGCTTTCTGCCTAAGGCCCTGAAGCCTGCTGAGGGGCAAGAGCCCCCCTGAATTATGAAATGAAACCCTGCCTACCAGTCAGGACAACATCAACGCTGGGTCCACATGGGCCTGCGCCTGTGCGCATGGTGTGGAGGCTGAGCTAGAAGGCCCTGCATAATGCAGGTGATTAGGTGGGTTGTAAAACACACACTCCTTTTCAGTACCCCAAATGTTTTCATGCATCCCATCCTGCCTGCCCATGCCAAGCCTTCTCCTTTGATCCATGTCAGCATAGGGGCAAGACTGTGATTCTTTTTTTTTTTTTTTTTAAGATTTTATTGGGGACTTGGGGGAGGGGAACAGAGTTGGGGGATAGGGGAACAGAGTTGGGGGATAGGGGAAAGGGAACAGACAAGTTGCTGTCCTTCTGTTATTCAGTCTAGTTGTGGAGGACATTGCTTCACTGGCCCATGTTGGTATTATCATTGCGCGTTTCCCAAG